AATTAAGCTGACTGTTTTTGCTACTGTACTGTTAATTTGATGCATAAATAGCATTTGTTATGATTTAGTTAACCTTTGCATACTGCCATAGTTTTCCTAGATGGACTGAAAAAGAGTTGATTAGTAAATGTGGTAATGAATGATAGTTACGTCATCATAACAGTGAAATAATAAGTAGGGCTGTGCAATTAATCGCATTTCATTTTTGCAATAAATTTTTGAGTGGTGGTTAAAATAAAATATAATATATAAAATAATTTATATAAAATAAAAATGAAACATTTAAAAAATAAAAAAAGATTTTCTTGAAAAAGTAATCACTAATAATCAATTATTTTGCTCAAAAATATAACGGTTTTTAATCATGATTGTTTTGATTTGAGACATTTATTTTTTTTACATTTAATTAGCATTATTGCACTTTCATGTAAGCAGGAAAATGTCAATTCATAAGCAGGATTTATTTGACTTTAATGTAGTTTCCTAATTCATTCTATTTATAATTTACATTAAAAAAAAAAATTTTTTATGAAAACTGGTAAAACCGTAAGAAGTGTTTCTCTGGAGCTAAAACAGTGAAATTCATAATGTGTTACAAAAATTCTTAAAATAAAAGGTAGTAGAGATTCATGTTTGGATATATCGCAAATATCACAGACGATAATGCTTAAATAATCGAGACAAGCAGAAATTGTGATCATGGTTGAAATCTTTTTTTTATTATTTTTTTTTATGTAAACGTTAGAGCTGTGTATCACCAGCAAAGTCACAATACGATACGGGACTGCACTGAATTTCACCTCAGCAGAATTTAGTAAAACAGCTGTTTATTAAACATTGCATACTATAGTGCCATTTCTAACTATTGGCAGAACAGGCAGTTGACCTCTGCATTATGAAAGGCCCTCCATAACTGTACCACAGTACAATAATGGCATATGCTTCATGTTTACATTGGGCACTCCCCACCAGGTACAATATTCTCATTGTTTGCATCTTGTTTTTAAGCCCATAAATAATAATGTACTCGTTCTAATAAATTTATATTGTAATGTACGCATTCTAATATATAAAAAAATCCTATTTACATTGCTGGTAGGTTATCATTGTACAAGTTAACACACTCTCTACGTTTAAAAAATAAAAATAAAAATTAGAAGAGTTCTAAAATAACGCGCTGTCTTCACTGTATCTAACTCACACACAGGCTCAGTCACTCACACAGATCACGCTGCAGCCGCACTCAGACATTCAGGAACAAGCTGCCCCTCAATTTGATCAACTAAATAGCTTAATCGCTCAAGAGCTACATTATCTTTCTCAACAAGGAGCTGGTAACATCATCGTTACTAAAGGAATTAAAGCCACGGCTTCACTGTTAATAGAGAAACGTGGCAAAACGGTGGTAATTCATACATACACAGCCTCTCTCTCTCTCTCTCTCTCTCTCTCTCTCTCTCATAAATGAACACTTGATGAATTACACTTTTCTGAGAATGTGGAGACCACTAAACTGCAAGCTAACCAGTGTTTTCAGAAAGCAAGTGCGTTTATCCACAGTGGAGAGAGAGCGCATGCACAGAGTTGCCAGGTTGACAAAGATAAGTAACACGCTTAGCAAATATTTCCATATTGCGCAAGTGTGAACAGGGCCAGCTGTATCGATACTCGTATCGTCAAAATCTCTGACGATACATCGTCGTATCAAACACAGCACTAGTAAACGTTTAGTTGCATCAAAAGAGCAAGAAAATCCTGGTTTCCATGATATGGCTCCTTTAAAAGCCTCGTACAGTGTGTGTGTGTGTGTGTTTTTAAGCTCGTCATCACCATGGAGACTGACCGTACGTATGACACGTTGTGTCCAGACTCCAGGATCCTCAGTGTCATTCATCACTCATCCGTCTATCTGATGGCTCTATAGAGATTAGGGTTGGGTATAGAAAACCGGTTCCATTTTAGAATTCGGTTCCAAATTTTTTTATTGCTAATTGATTTGTTTGTTCCTATCTTATTACTGACTGAATAAATTCTTGACATTTAAATGTTTGACTTAATTTTTTTATATTGGATTTTTTATCTTATTGGAATCGAAACTAGGAATCGATAAGCAGAATCGGAATCGATAAAATTCAAACGATACCCAACCCTAATAGAGATGAACTGACTATGATTCTCTTCCGCAGGAAATTAAACCCCAGAGTCACTATAACCATGACTACAGCGAGAGCGTCAGCCGCAAGAGCCACGTGGACGACTACAGCACTTGGGACATCATCAAAGCCACCCAGTGAGTCTACACACACACTGGAACGACCGTCTACACAAATACCCCTCACCCAGAAACAACTAGATAATGATCACAAATATGTCGACAAAACTACGTCATATGAGCAGCATGATTCTGTATTATCAGTGAACGCAAAAGACTTTTCTTTTTATTTTTGACACTAACTTAAATGATTTTAGCAAATGGCTGCAATATAACAAAGAGTGAAAAATTTAAGGGGGTCTGAATACTTTCCGTACCCACTGTATATAATAACCTGCAGCAGATCTATGCAGGTGGAGCTGGGGAGGTGGAGGTTTCAGAGGAACTCTAAAGCGCACTGAGAAATGCTCTAGTGAATGATAACCAGCCGTTTAAATGTAAAGCAGCTAGCTCACTGGCTGCCTATGCAACATGAACCAATCAGCTTGTGCCAAGAAGTTTAACACTCAGTTTGTGTTAACGACCGATCAGCCTGCCATCTAGAGTTTAATGATAGAACTTGGCATAGATGTGTGTGTGAAACTTTTGTTTATATATATATATATATATATAAATCATTTAAACTGTAATGTATGTCTGTGATGTGCAGCTGTATTTTCAGCATCATTCCTCCAGTCTTCAGTGTCACATGATCTTCAGAAATCAGTATAATATGCTGATTTATTATTAGAATTATCAATGTTTTTTTTTTTACTGCGATACTTTTTCAGGATTCTTTGATGAATAAAAAGTTAAAAAGAACAGCATTTATTCAAAATAGAAATCTTTGCTAACACTTCTTATCAATTTAACACATTCTCGCTGAATAAAAGTTTTAATTTCTTTCAAAAAAAGACAGAATATAAATATACTGACCCCAAACTGTTGAACGCTAGTGTGTATTGTTAGAAAAGATTCTATTTTAAATAAATGCTCTTCTTTTTAACTTTTTATTCATCAAAGAATCCTGAAAAAAGTATCAC